AAAAAAAAAACAAAAAGATCAAATGAATATATATGTCTTCTCCTTCCCGAAAGAAGGGGTTAAGCCACAGATTAGAGACAAGTGGGATGGTGCAGCTGATCATCTTGTGCTGGTCCCACACGCCCTCGCACTCCCAAACTCTTTCCTCAAGACATTTTTTCGAGACTCCAGGTCCAGGTCAGGAATTGTTGGTGACCTTTCAGAGCACTAGGTACTTCCCCCCATCCTTGTACCTATCACACAGTGCCACAGGGAGATGATGTCTGAATCCTCCCTACACACCATCATCTCCCAAACTGTGGTACTTCATAAATGCAGAAATTGTCTTGTTTACTAATATATCTTCATTTGATGAATGACTAAATGAACATCTCTACTGGGTAAAGTAAATCAGTGTTTTTCCTATTGATTTTTTTATGGATTATTTTGTTTTTTGAAATAAGGTCTCACTATATAGCCCAGACTAGGCGGAGCTCTCCATCCTCCTGCCTCAGCCTCCTGAGTGCTAAGATTACAGGCCTGCATCACCACACCTGGCTGATTTTTGTGAATTCTTTATATGTTAAAGATGCTGACACTTTGCCATTGGCTGAGAATATTTTCCCTAGACCATTTCCCTTTAATTTTGGTTATTCCATGGGCGGGCAATGAGAAGAGCAGAGAGGTTTTAAATTTTTATGTAAACTGATCTATTGATTCTTTTCTGTCAAGATCTCTTCAATTGCTTCCAAGTTCAGAAACTCTTTCCCTCACTGGATATTTGATAAGTAAATGTTCACTTCTATTTTCTGTGCACACTGCTCTCAGCAGTGCTCTGATCATTTTATTTTCCTGCTAAAAAATATTTAACAGTCTCCTTAGAGCGTCTAGAATAAAGTCCAAATTCCTTAACCTGGCCTCCAAGGCTCCAAGCCTGAATTTACCTTTCCAGCCTTTTGTGTGCAGTCCCCCTCTTAGCCTGAGCTCTGGACTTCCCCACCTCCCAGTCTTCCTTCCTGTGTATACTGTCCATCCCCATAGTCCTAAGTAGATATTTACATCTCACTTAGTCCCTGAGCCATACTTTCTCTAAAAACCCTCACCCTCCCCTTCCTCCTGGGAGGGTGAATGGTGGTGGAGGGGTGAGAAAATGAGCTTTGGAGTCAGACAACAACTGAATTAAAATCCAAGAACTTTCACTGGTTAGCTATTGGCCAAAACCTTTAACCTTTTTGGTCTCAATGCCCCTGTCTTTTTCTCTTCTCCTCTTCTCTTCTCTTCTCTTCTGTGCTGGGAATGGAACCCATGGCCTCATGCATGCTAGGTAAGCACCCTACCACTGACCTATGCCCCATCTTTAAGATGCAAACAGAAGCTGGGTGCCAGTGGCTCATACCTATAATTCCAGCTACTCAAGAAGCAGAGATCAGGAGGATTGTAATGCAAAGCCAGGCCTGGTAAATAGTTCGCAAGACCCTATCTCAAAAAAGCCCATCACAACAAAGGGCTGATGGAGTGGCTTAAGGTGTAGGCCTGAGTTCAAACCCCAGTATCCACCCCCAAAAAAGCAAATAGATGGACCACATCAGGCACTTGCCTAGCAAGTGTGAGGCCCTGAGTTCAAAAAAAATTTTTTTAAATAAAGATGTTATCTAGCTATTACTAGCTAGTAACAGTCCCAGTCACGTCCCACATTCTGTCATTTGGGAAGGGAGTTTCCCCTTACTCAGGGTCACACCTTTCCCACACCTTTCCCGTATTTGTGTCTTCCCCTGAAGGTCTTGCCTGGCCCTCAAATTCCATTAGGTGGAGTGAGTAAACAGGTTTCACCTCTGGGAACCCAGCCTGGGCCCCGAGGCACCTCCATGGGACTCCCATACCTACTTGACCCAAATGAATCTCTTCCTTCCTTTCCTCTTCATTTGAGCTCCTATGGTCTCCTCCTTGGTGCCTCTCCAGAGGCCCACCAGCACCCCTGCCCCTTGCCATCAGCACCCCACTGTATGGTGAGCCAAGTGAAGTAAAGATCATTCCGCCCCACTTTAAGGTGGCTAAACTGAGACTCAAACTAGCATCCATATAGTTCAGTCTAGAACTTGGGTGTCTTTGCAGACAGGGACAGGATGTAATCAAGGAGTCCTGGGGGCCTGGGAAGCTAGGATAGGGGTCTGGGGGTTGGGGGGGCTTTGACCAAGAGCAGGAGACAGGACAGGAGCCCTGGCCTCAGGGCCTCTCCCTGGTCCATGGTAGGCTGATGCCACACCCCCGTGCTGCTTCATGAACCGAGAGTACAACATACAGGAGCCTGTGTTGTTTGAGGAAGAGCAAGGATGACTGTTCACTGGCTGGGGCATGCTATATCAGGCCGAGGGTGAGGGTGGGGGGGGTTCCTGGACAATGAGAAGAACAGGTTAGCATCAGGAGGCTTAGTTTCAGCTCCAGCTCTACACCCAGCATGCTGTGTCATCCGGGGCAACCACAAGACCCTGGGACCCCAATTGTCCTACCTGTAAAGTGGACCTCTATCATGAGATCTCAGAGTTTCTTAGCATTCTTAAAATGCTGGGCCCAGCCCCTCCCTGAGCACAGTCTGTCCCCCAGGGCCTGACTTCACCACATTGACCAGACAAAATCACTGACACCATCTGCCTGCCTCCACCCTCGGTCCTGCCCTTCCCTGAAGAGCCCAGCCTGACCCCAGTGCCCCCACCGTAACTGAGGCAGGAAGGCTTTGGTAAGGCTTGAGGACCCCATGCCCACATTTGACCTCCTCAGTCTCTTCCCTCTTCCTGGAGCCAGCATCCTCCCTTTCCTCCCTTCCTTCCCTCCCTCCCTCCCTCCCTCAGTGAAATCTGAGCTCAGGGATCTAGGGAGAATTCTGGCTGCAAAACATTCCATCCAGTTGTCCAAACACTGCACAGCTGGAGGAGGGAGGGGCAGCCAGAGGCGGCTTTCAGGAGACCTTGGGCTGTTGTTTTAAGGGAAATGGGGAGTCCTTACTGGAGGTCCAACCCTGGCTGCCCTGAGGCGACTCACAGGACTGAGAGGACAAAAGAAGAGTACGCTGTAGCTCACACACGTGTGTGTACACTCCTGAGCACATTCCTGAGCACGCACACACATGCAAACCCAACACACAAACGACACTCATACACACACAGTCCTTGCCCAAGCTCATCCTGTGGACTACCAGCCCTCACTAGGGAAGACCCAGCTGCCTCAGAGTCTGCCCAGCCAGGTGTATACACTGCCTCACCCCGCCAGCCAAGAAGAGGTCGCTGGGCAGCAGGCATGCCTGCCTGAGGGCGGTGGCCTTGTGAGCCTCCCCTCGTGACCAGGCTCAGCTCTCCACGGCAGGGGGAGGGCAGGCAGAAATGACTCTGAGATAGCAAGCACCAGAGGGACTCTGGGCAACACTTTAACAGGCCAGCTGGCCCAGACTCGAATGCCTTTCCATGCCCACTCATCAGTGACCTTGAATGACTCTCCCAGCCTCAGTTTCCTCATTCACAAAAGCAGAGGATCAGGCTTTTTCTGGCTCTGATTTTCCTTAAAAATTCCCAGCCAAGGACAAGGTCCCTGAAGCTTCCCATCTAGTCAGAGTTGTGTCCAAATGTCCAGAAAGCACAGCCCCCAGCAACTCTGACTCAGTTTCTCTGTGGAGGGGCTGAATGGGACTTGGCAGGGAAGGATCAGCTTCCCTCTTCCACCCTCACGCTGAGCCCCTTGCCCTCCTGCCACATAGGGGCGACAGGAGATGCTCCCCCTTTCTGCACATCCTGTTTTCTGTTAATAGTTTCCAGGTGAGGCCAAGGTTGCCCTGCAGAGGAAGGTGGGGGCACTGGAGAATTTAGCAGAGGGGATAAGCGAGGAGCAAAAACAGGAAGGGGGTGGGAGCAAGCTATGGAAAATTCACCGCCAGGAAAGGGAGGCCAGCATCTGGTTTGCATTAGGTTGAGAGCGTCCCAGCACAAAGCCCAGGCTGTGATCCACCGACAGGGAGTGGCACCGATGGGGTGAGGCCACTGCTCCCCAGAAGGGCACAGGCTGACAGGAGAATAGAGGAAAGTGGAGAGAGGAAGGAAAAGGAACCTGTCCTTCAGCCCACATTGGGGCAGACACTCCACAAAGGTGACCTTCCCTAATCACAGCATCATTCGGAGAGCCATCCCCATTTTATAGAGGAGGGAAACTGACTTCCAGAGAGGTTAAGTGACTTGCCCAAGGTCACACAGAGAAGGAAGAAATCTCGTTTTGAAAGGGACAGGATGAAGTGGAAGTTGCAGGTAGAAGGGACAGTGTATGGAAAGAGGAGCGGTTCAAAGCAGTTGTAGGCAGTAGCAATTGGCCTGGTGTGCTCTAGAAGCTGAGACTCCAATTTAGAGTTGTGGAAATTGGGGCACAGAAGGTGCCTGAAGTCTGGAAAGGGACGGAATCTGACCTATGTGCCTCCAGGCCTGAGTTCCCAACTGCTACACCGAATTGTCCCTTGGTGTTGTGGGGGGTAGTTAAAGTTTTAAGGGGATATTGAGGCCCAGGGTAGTGGGGGAAGGGCCTGTTCAAGGCCACATAGTCAGTGTTGAGACCCAGCTGGACAGGTTCTGTGCGATATGCCAGCCAGGGAGGAGAGGGGACAAGGGAACATCATAGTAGGCGTGAGTGAAGCCTGAGGCCCCAGGGATGTGGGGGGAGCTGCCCACCTCCTCTGGAGGTGTCTCACCTTCCCTGGCCCAGAACCCAAGAACGAGGCCCCATGTCTTCCACTGCCTGCTGGGCCCTGGGAGTTAATAATTATGGGTTTAAGGAGATAGAGACCTGGCTGCCAGGCCCCGCCCTCCTGGGCCGCTGCTCCTGAGAGATAGCAAAGGTTAGCATGAGGCTCCGCCTGGGGGAGCAGACTGTATCATCTGCCCTCCCGGCGGTCTTCAGAGGGACCCTTGGTCTGGCCTCCCAGGCATGGATACCTCTGAGGAGCCCAGCCGGTGCCCTGCCCAAGGGACATGCCCAGTGTTCCTGGCCATGAGCTCAGGAGCTGTCCTCTATGCCCCATCAGGCCCTGCACAGGAGAGGAACTTGGGAGAGAAACCCTGGGGCACAGACAGGTGAGCTAGGGACCTGGGACACAGAGTCTGGCCATTCTGCAGGGGTGGAGGGGTGGGGGTCAGCAGCCAGACTCTGGACAGTGTGCTGGCATGGATCTGTGAAGAATTTCAGAAGCCTTCAACAAGGTCAGCACCAGGGGCACCTCTGATTGTCCTGTTCAACTTGATGGTTATACCGAAGTGAGAACAGAAGCTCAGAGAGGCCAAGACACTTGTCCTGGGTCACACAGGGAGCTTGAGGACAGACCCAAGTCCAGAATCAGGGCTTCCTGGGTCATCTAGGCTGACTGTCTCCTGCTTCTCATATGCCTCCAGCTAAGGGTTTGTGGCTAAGGGTGACAAACTGGGAAGTGACAGGGATAGAGAGATGGAAGAAGGGAGGCTGAGGAGGGCAGTGGGCACACCTTTTATTTCTCCCTCCCTACCTCCTGGGCAGGCCCCTCCTGGGCACTCCATAACACTCTGTGGACTGGCCACACACACAGCTGCAGCTTCCAGAGAGTCCTCTGGCTTCTGGGTTTTCTTTTGGAAAGGAGACTCGACCTTACCACCCGTGGCTGTGTGATATTAGATAGGTTCCTTAACATCTCTGAGCCCATTCCTTTTCAGTGGGGTGAAAGCAGAGGGTTCTCTGTGCCACTGGGAGGAAACAGTGAGACCTGGGAGTTCATAGTAGCTGGATGCATAGCTGACAGGATATTTTTGATTAGTAATCGGATGTCAATGTTTGCAGAGTGGTGACCACACACTTATCCTTTGAGGCCTCGCTCAAGGATCTCCCAGCCAACCAACCTCCACCTAGACTGAGGACCTCTTCCTTTGGGATAGCGGCCCTGGGTTAAGTCCTACACCCTTTATCTCCCTCTAGTCCGCCTGCCACAATTTATCTTTTCCCCAACTTTCAAAAGACGTGGAGAGCAAGGGCTCTGTCCTGGGCTCCTTTTGTGACATCTTCTCCTCCCCCCTAGACAGTGGCAAGATAGCAGTGGCTCAAGGCTTAGCTGGTGAAGGAGTCAAGTCAACAAAGAGATGTTGACATCTGATTTGGGCCAGACCCTGAGCTGGGCTGGGGTGGGTAGGAGGAACACAGCTCCAAGAAACTGCTGGCCCCCTCCCTCTGGAAACCATAGTTTGAGGAACAATTAACCTGCAGAGTGAAGGACAGAGGAGGCCTGGGCTGAATGATTTTGAAAAGTTGGAAAGGATGCCATGAAGGGCTGTCCATGGTCTTTACTGCACAAGATATCAGCCAAGGGAGCAGGGAAGACATGAAATCCAGCCTGGCCTCCATTTACCAAGTCCTGTGCCTTTGTGTGAGCTGTGCCTACCTGGAAAGGAGCATTCTTTTCTATTATGAACAAAGACACCATTACTTGGTAAAGGTGGGCCCTAGGCAAGTGGAGACCCTTGAGTATATGCACCACCACTCCCACTACCCAGTTTCTGGAGCCCCAGAAAGCCAGGTGTGGTATTGTGTGCCTGTGGTCCCTGCTACTCAGGAGGTTGAAAAGGGAGGATCACTTGAACCCAGGAGTTGAAGACCAACCTGGGCAACATAGCAGGCCCATCTCTCAAAAAAAAGAGAGAGAGAGAGAGAAAGAAAAAGAAAGAAGGAAGGAAGGAAAGAAGGAAAGAAAGAAAGAAAAAGAAAGAAAAGAGCTCATACTGGAGCCCAAGGGGTGAACCCTCTCCCTCTGAGAAAGGTCCTTGCTGGCCCTTAGATTATGCTCAGAGCCAGTGGTCAAATGAGTATAGTGGATGAGTAAGTGAGCAAGTGAGATGTGCTCCAAAGACTAGCCAAACTCAAACTGGTGCCCCCAGGGTCTGTGGACCCAGAAGAGCCAGCACCCATAGTTTTGCTGGCATCTCTCCACAGGTGGAGCCCTGTTCCTGGCAGGAGAGAAGAGGGTTTGGTTATGTTCTCATTGGGTCCTGCCCCGGGCTGAACTTGAGGCCAGAGGTCAGGGCAAGTATAGGGGAAGACAGAGGGGACTCAGAGACAGATGACTAATGGTGTGTGGGGTATTTGACAGAGGAGGGCAGATGGTCAGTAGGCCAGGGGACTGATAGGCTGTGTTCAGAAGCAAGGGGAGGACCCGGGGGGGTGGGGCAGGTGAGAAGACAGACGCTGTCTGGGGATAAACAAAGAGTGGGAATGAGAAAACTTGTTCTGGGGCCTGCTCCTTCCATTTGCCACCAGGTAGAATGTCACACAGGGAGCTCAGTGAAGGGGTAAGTGGCTGGAGGACAGGGTGAAGGAGGAAGGTGTGTGCTGGCCTTCAGTGACAATCTGCAGGAGACAATGGGAGCAGAGAGCCGGGGATCATTTGTCCGTTCTCTAGCAAGGGTGGCCCAAGGAGGATGCATGGGGCAGTGACTGGAGAGAACAGTCAGCTGGGAGAGGCTGAGAACCGTTCTGGCTGCGGGATGATGGGATCGGTTCCAACCCTACTCCGCGGGCCCATGGTCCCGGAGCAACCATCCCGAGTAGGTCTGGGCCCGGGAATCTCGGATGGGCTCCGCATCTGGCCCACGGAGGGGCGGGGCCGGGCACGTGTCCGCGGGCCGCCCCTCGGCCACGTGACCCGCCCGGGGCAGGGGCGGGGCGGAGCCCAGCAGGGATCCCGGGAGACGCAGACAGACAGGCTGGCTGCAGACAGGACTGACAGGCGGCTGGGTAGCCCGTGGTCCGGGTGAAGTTGGCAGCGGGCGGGGACGCGGCGCGGAGTGGCGCAGGGAGGACGCAGCAGCAGCGGCGCGGGGAACGGACGCCCGGGCGTCCCGAGGCGCCGGGATGTGGAGCGGGTAGGTCCGCACGCACTGACGGCTCAGAGCTGGGTCTGGGCCGCGGTGGCCTCTTGGGGTGGGACAATAGGGGATCACCGCTGTGACTGCACCCCACCCGGACATGCGCTGCGTCCCCAGCCCTGACTGCGCTTGAGGGGTGCGTTATAGCGAGAGGACTCGCGAGCAGACTCGCAGCTGGGGAGAGGGAAGAACACTGGGCAGGAGTGGTCGGGGTCTGTCCTGGGACGAGAGTGCAAAGGGTGACAGCGCCAACTCCTCCTAGGTCATTGGAGCACATGTGAGAAGTGGGGCGGGGGGGATCTGTGCCCGCCAAAGTACATCTGGGGCACTCACCTAAAGAGGGCTCCCCCGACCATGAACTCTTGGAAAGCAGTGCATTTGGGAAAGGGGGGGCTGGGTCTCTCCAAGATTACCGGCAAGTTGATGAGAGAACCTCCCTCTGGAGCGCCGACCTCCCTGAAGTCTGGAGAGGGATAGCACAGATTCTGGGTCCTGGGTCAGTTCAGGTCATTGGTTCTCCTATGGTCTGGTTCCTGGCCAATCTGATAGGAGGAGACCCCTGCCCTGTACGTGCAGAAAGGCTGAGGTCTTTCCATAGAGTTGGGTAACGGCTTCCTCTTCCCAAGGGCTGGAAAGATTAGGACCTGGAGGACTGGCCAGATGAATGGTCCCCGGGCAAGGCTCCTGCCCCTCACAGCTGGAGAGGGAGGGAAGCCTGGGGGAGGGGGGACCTGGGGAGGAGGATACCTTGCAGAGCTTGAGTTGAGATGATGGGGTTTTGCTCCCAGCAGGGGTGCTGATAGTGAGGTGTGGAGGGAGAGACTTGACAAGGAGCCTATGTTGTTGGAATTACACCACAGGGCAAAGAGGTGAGGCTCAGGCAAAAAGTGGTTGAGGTGGGTTTGTGGTTTTAGAGAGGCTAGGCAGTCGTGCCTGGGGATGAGTGTGTGTGGTCTTGCTTGGGGACCAGCGCGTTTGAGGAACAACTTGGTCTGGAGGAAGTTTGTGACCTTATGTATTTGGTAGACTGAGGCAAAACAAGCACTACGTTGCTAGGTGACCCTAAAGGCCTCCCTTCTCTGGGCCTCTATGTGAATTAAGTAGGTTGGGAGTTGGGATTGAGCCCAACTCCAAGAATGTCCTTCCTTGGAGGCATCCAGGCAAGACAGCTTAGAACTTGGCTGCTCACTTTAGGGACAGAGTCAGGACTCAAGGTCCCTGACAAGGCCTTGGCTGTTATACCCAGGACCCTCTTGTAGAATCAGACTGCCAAACTGAGCTCCATTGTCATTCCCAACCCCAACCCCATCGTCATCATGTCTGTCTAGCACACTTCTTGTTTGGACCTCTGGGGTGCAGTTGGTGTGGAGCATACAGTAGGGACTTTGTAAATGCAGATGGAAAGCATGAGGGGCAGAGTGAGGCTCTGGACACCTGAGAGGGAGAGACAGAATTTGGGGCCACTTGAGTGCTGCATTGTTATGGACCCCTCATTTGCACATGGAGACTGGGACTTTTAGGGATCAGGAGCCCAGCTGCCAGCTCCCATGGGGGGCCAGCAGGGTCTAGGAGCTCACCCTCTTCCAGTTGAGAGGGACTCTACTCAGGACAACACTTGACCAGGTCACACTGTATGTGGCTGGTGCTTGTGACCCCCAGGAGCTCATGACAAGTCTGGGAGATCTGTATCTCCTGAGGGCTGTGAATCCTAGACTAGGGGGAATCAGAGACCTGGCTAAACTGCCAGTGCTTCTGGGATTTGGTTTCTTGGGCTATAAGATAACTGAGATCTCTGCCTTGGTCCAGCTCCTAGTCCTAGTCCCCTTGGCCTTGGACCTTGGGCTGCTGTCCTGGGGGTGGGGGGAATAAGCAGCAGTGACTGGACTCTGCAGAACCTGGGGGAGGGTCCTCCTCCTTGGGACTCTGGAACATGGGCCTTGAACTTTGAACTCAGAGGCAGCTCCAGTCAGTCTTTAAGGGGCTGCACCTCTCCCATTCCTATAGTTTCACAGACCCGCGGTCTTGGGTGCCAAGCCAAGGTGATGGACAAGTACAACATTTTGAGTGTTTCTACATCTGGTGCAGTGCTGGCCACTTGGAATTAGGTCAGGAGAGGCCAGAGTCTAGATTTTGGGCTTGATTTTGCCATTATATGGCCACATAACATTGATATAGCCCCTGGGTCTCCATTT